TACGGAAGACGACTAAACAGATTAAAATAGCGGTGGTAAGGGTGTTGCCAGAATAGTATCGCCAATTACTTAAAAAAATACACCTATAACATTGCTTAATTGAGGGAGAAAATTATATTTATTAAATGTTGTTTTATATATTATGAATGTTAAAAATTATACATAATCATTTTAATTGTATTTATTTTTAAATCATAGAAAACAGTATTTCTGTCTTTGGATCACACATAAATCTTAAAAATCATAGAGATACTGGCAACACAGTGCAATTAGGAGACGCAAAAAAATGGTAGCATTATAGTCTAGTTGCTCGAAGGAATAAGTAAAATAAAAATATCCAAATAAAATAAATATCATATCTATTCCAATGAATTCGGACCGAATACTATCAAGCACATCACTATGAAAACTAGACGCACGATGTAACTTTGTACAAGCGCGCCAAAGAACAAAAAATAAATGTTTTCATATTATTTACAAACTATTTTAAGTTTTGAAACAGAGTTTATTGGAAAATTACTTGATTCTGACATTTTGACATAAAGTTTTATATTAAAGAGGTATTCTAAATCATTCGGCAAATGTGTCGCTCGTGCAAGGTTATATCGATTAATTTAAGAATAATCTGTCAAATCGGTAATAACTCAGCGGCCGTACTTTAAGACTAGGTTCGCATTTGTGGGTGATTTCAATATTAATGTCATAGAAAATAATTAAATCACAGAAAATTTGCACAATCTCTTAAAAATCTAACGTGATATGTGACGTTAGATTTTTAAGAGATTGTGCATAATCAACTAACTAGGTTGAACTCGTGTCTTGATCTGATTTTTAGTAATGTGAATGATGCTACTGCAGTTGTTGTCACTTGCTCTATCGCATCATGACATGGCTCAAATGCAAATTAAAATTCGGTGATCAGTACATATACGCCTGTAGCATTTTGAGCAAGTTTTCCTGGTGCTGCGATCGCTAACTCTGCTACAAAACGCACAGCGTGCAACCCCACCACGAATTAGTATATTTCCTTGTTGAGGAGCTTCTGAAATTTTCAACAATAGTTTGGCTTTTGTTTAAATGCTTCCTGATAACTTCGTTCTAAAATTAATGGTTTCACAAGCTCAAACCCCAAAGACTGAAGAAAAATGCTTCTGATGATGTTTTCGTTTCAATTATTCAACTGACGAATAACTAGGCGATTTATAGCGGCAATATTCAAAAAATTAAAAAATAATGTAAGAGGCCAATGCCTACTATTTCTAGATACGTCATATTGACGACACATCCTGTCCACAATATCCACCCCACACTTTGTGTGGTTATAAAAAGTTATGATTTCAGGCTTTTTTCGTCGCCGGTAGTAGCATCTATTGCTTCACTGTGGTGCATTGTTGACAATAATAAAACTGTTTTGTTTCTTTTTTGGCACATAACTGACTAGTGTGCATCCTTTTTGAAACCCAAACAAAGAACTATTTATATGTCGGCCCTGACTAGTCTTACCCCCCGTTTACACTATCGCGCGAGCGGCGAGGCGAGCCACGAGGCGGGAGTGTAAACGCTAGCTCATGGCTCGCCTCGCAGCTCGCCGCGGCGCTCGCGTCGGATGCGGTTTTTTGGGCACGAGGCAAAGGGCCTCGAGAGGGACGCGAGCGTGGTGTTTACACTCGCGCTATCGTTTCAGTTGGTTTACGGCGCCCTTCCATAATAACATTCGAATTGCTTTTGTTTTAAAATTACAATTTTAATAAAATAATATAATTTAATCTTGCACAATAGGTACTAGCAATTTATATAAAATTATGAAACTGAAAAGGTTCTGTTTCGATGAATAGATATCATCCACCATATTCTTTCTCAACGATGTATTTTTTTTAATTTCCTTCTTTTTCACATATATACCCTTCGGCAAATTGTACAGAAGTCCGAGGAGTACAATTTGCCACTTTGTCTGGTGTATTTGGACTATGACAAAGCCTTTGATTTCGTCGAAATTTGGGCGGTGCTGCAGTCCCTTCAGCTGTCCAAAGTTGACTGTCGGTATATCGAAGTGCTGAAGTGTTTGTACAGTAGGGCTACGATGGCTATCCGAGTACAGAACCAGAGTACGAAAGATATCCAAATGCAGAGAGGTGTAAGACATGGTGACGTTATACCCCCGAAACTCTTCACATTGGAAGACGTTTTCAAGCTTCTGGACTGGAAAGGATACGGTATTAACATCAACGGCGAGTACATCACTCACCTTCGATTTGACGACGATATAGTCTTTATGGCAGAATCGCTGGAGGACTTAAGCACTATGCTCAATGACCTCAATAGTGTTTCCCAACGGATAGGTCTTAAGATGAACATGGGCAAAACAAATATCATGTATAACGTCCATGACACATCTATGCCGGTGGTTGTTGGGAGCACTAAGAAGTTGTTGACGAGTATGTTAACCTGGGACAAATAGTCTGACTAGGTAAGTCCAACTTCCGGCGCCTGGGCCTGGAAGTGGCCCTAAACAAGTCGGAGGCCATGGTGTTCTATGGCCCTCGACGCGCGCCGCCGCCGGGTTCACACATCGTGGTCAGCGGGGCTCGGATAGCTGTCGAGTCCACCATGAAGTATCTGGGATTGGTGCTCGACAGCCGATGGGAATTCGGACCCCACTTCCGGCGGCTGGCGCCCAAGCTGATGGGTGCAGCGGGCGCGCTTTCAACATTGCTTCCCAACTTGGGGGGCCCGAGCGCCGCCTGTAAGCGGTTGTACGTGGGAATCGTGCGGTCCATAGCCCTGTATGGGGCCCCTGTGTGGGCGATGGACATGACGGCCAGCACTCTCGCCATTCTGCGCAAACCGCAGAGGGCGATGGCCGTCAGAGTCGTCCGCGGGTATCGCACGATTTCCTACGAGGCGGCTTGCCTCCTGGCCGGATCCCCGCCCTGGGACCTGGGACGCGAAAGTACTCGCGTCATTATATCAATGACGCGAGGAAGAGCGGGCACGGGGCTCGAGGCCGGTGCAGCGGCAGATCGCGCTGCGCCGAGAGGAGCTCCGTCAGGTCTTGGTGGCGGAATGGCGGCAAAGGCTTCTGCGCCCTACCGCCGGCCTCGCTACCGGTAGCGAGGCCGGCGGTAGGGCGATCCGGCCAGTACTCGACGACTGGCTCGGGGGAAGGCACGGCTCCCTGTCGTTTAGGGTGACGTAAGTGCTGTCGGGGCAGGGCTGCTTCGGCAAGTACCTGTGCCGCATAGACAGGGAGCCTGACGCTCGGTGCCACCACTGCGTCCATTGCGGGGAGGACACGGCGCAACACACGCTCGCCGAGTGTGTAGCTTAGGAGGAGCAGCGCCGTGTCCTCACAAATAAAGTAGGAGGCGATCTGTCGCTGCCGGCCTTAGTGCAAAAGATGGTCGGTAGCGCAGAGTCGTGGGACGCGGTGGTGTCCTTCTGCGAGGACGTGATGTCGCAGAAGGAAACTGCGGAACGGGAAAGGGAGATCTCGACTCCCTTCCCAGGCCGCAGAAGGAACACTTGGCGCAGGAGAAGGGCGGATAACGCCCTTTTCCGGCCCCCATGAATGGGTCCAGGGGCGAGGGACTTGGGGAAGCCCCCGCCACCCCTATTCGAAGGACCCGAAGCGGAGGCGCGCGCCCCTTAGGCGATACACGGGGTAGTTGAACACCTCACTACCCCGTGCAGGAGACGAGGCCCGGACAGACCGGGCCAGCACTAGTGTGGGGCTGCGGAAGAATTTGGATTCCCGCGGCCCCAAGCGCACGTGCGAGGAGACACCGGGGTGGTTTAGCCGCTAAGAGTCCGGCACGCCCCTCCGCCTTTCCCCAGGCGGAGGTAGTCCATGAGGATTTCCCCCCGTAAAAAAAAAGGTAAGTCCAACTTCGACCAAGGTCAATCGACGGATTCAACTCGGCTGGGCAGTGTTCGGGAAATTACGGCACATCTTCTCGTCAGGCATACCTCAAAACTTGAAAACGGAACTGTAAAACCGGTGCGTGTTGCCAGTGATGACCTATGTAACTGATACGTGGTCCTTTACTGCTGGCCGGATGAGGAAGCTTAAGGTCGTTCAGCGAGCTATGGAGAGGGCTATGCTCGGAGTTTCTCTGTGTGATAAACTTAGATATGAGGATATCCGCAGTAGAACCAGAGCGACCAACATAACCCACCGGATTAGTAAGCTGAAGTGGCAATGGGCCGGCCATATAGCTCGAAGAACCGACAACCGATGGGGAAAAAAGGTTCCCGACTGGCGGCCTCGTACCGGCGGACGAAGTGTAGGGCGTCCCCCCACTAGATGGAGTGACGACCTGGTAAGACATGCAGGAAGACGATGGATGCAGGTGGCTCAGGACCGCTTTCTGGCATTCCTTGGGGGAGGCCTATGTTCAGCAGTGAACTTGTGAGGGGCTGTAATGATGATGACATTACAATAGACAATCTGTTAATGAAATGACTGAAACAAATTTTTTGGGACTATTATTGGACAAACATGTGAACTAGAAAGCCCAAGTTGAAAAGGTGTTCTAAAATCTAGTTACATTTTTCTACTTAGCAGATTCAGAAGAATTACATCGCATGAAACTTATAACGGCGTACTATGCATTCATTTATTCTGCACTAGATTATGGTCTTTTACTTTGGGGTAACAGTACAGACGCTGTTAAGGCCTTTATAGCCCAAAATAAATATATTAATGTAGAAATTTTATGCATGGTTTGGCACCAGATATATCGTACAAACCGTATTTTTTAAAAAAAAAACGCATTGTGACGCTTACATGTATGTACATCTAAAAGAACAATGACCAAATTTCTATAGGCGCTGGACTTGACTTTTATTTTTCATGTCCCAAAACAAACTATAACTAGATTGGTTTGTTTTTTTTTTTTTTGTAAACACCATCCCGTTTTAAAATCATATCTAAATAGCCACAATGTTTTATAATGTTACGAGCTTGGGGTTCGAGATAATTAAAAACTGCCGAGTGAATGACCAAAATTGACTATTTAATTACACAACACTAATTATAACTTAAAATCACACTAATAATAAAACACAGTTCGCCGTTATTTCGCTTCGAAGTATTCTCTTGTATCGCCAATTCAATACTGCCTTGGTCGTGGTCCATACCGGCCTTATATAGGGCCTCGGACAGTTTCCAGAACCTTCCACTGTAGCGACATCTAGAATGTTCGAGTACATATAGGTCCCGAAATTTCTGGAAGGATCTCGACTCTCCTAGTTCTGCTACTCGACACTAGAGGGCGCTAGTGTAACTAGTGTTGCCATGTACAAGACATTAATAGTGGCGCGTAACAATAATAATGTCAACAATACTTTTGGGGTTAGAATAAACAACTACCTTTTATCCGGACTGCTACGTAGCCTAAAAGTGTAGTAAGCGATAATCGAGGAGGGTAATTAGCAATCTAGTTTCTATTTATTTCGATTTCTTTCAGATCATTATCATCAGTATCACAATCCACAACAACGAGTGAAGCATATAAGATGATGCGAATTATTGCCGGGTGACAACCAATAGCGTGGACCGATGACCACAGATTATGTAACTTGTCAATGACAAATGACGTTCCGTTGTTCGTAATTGAACAAAACGCTTAGCTTACTATGAAGCTACTAGCTAGCTAATTATTTTTATGACGAATCCAGTACATAATAAATCAGTATAGTAGTTGATTTGATGCCTACATACTAATTGAATTGAATTACAATTAATAACTATTCAGAAAAACGTAAATAATTATAGTGTTTGAATACAAAGTCCTTTCGTACGCAAAATGAATCGTCATTACGTGCGTTCCAGTTCGTTCTGAAACCATTATAGTAAATAATTTCGGAACAGTTACAAAAACAAAAATTAATGGATAACTTTTTTTGTGGCTACTTAGAGAGGTATTTATTGTGATCTTAAAAAATAAGGGTACTTTTCATAAATATGGCATATAGTGACGCCATCGTTTCGTCGTCTGGTGCGATTTGACCAACCTTCTTTGGTATGTTTTATTAAAAATAATATACTTTTATTCACAAAGTTAAGAGATACTGTACAGAGTGGAGGTGGGCAAAGTGTATCATTTTTGGGATTGGAACATTTGCATCTTGATCACTGAAATGTTCCGAAACACTGATATGTTCCATTTGGCTCATTTGTATCATCTACTCAAAAGATATAAAAGAAAGAATGTTCCGAATACATTAAGTTGCGTCGCGGGCGTTTATTACTGACTGATTCGTGAAATGTTACGTGGCAACAATACTGAATAATATAAGTGCTTAGATTATTTATTGTGTACCGTAATAAGATTGTATATAAAATCGATTCTCCTTCATACTTTAACAAAAATGTCACTATGTCAATTCATTATTTACAAAAATGTCCATTTACACAAAACAGCAATGTCTATGTACACAGAATTTACTCGTAAAGTATCATAACTCTAAACTTTATGATGAAAAGGAAGAAAGTAAATTCACAATAATCACTACGCAAAGAAATCCTAAACATAACTCAGTATGTTTTCGTAAACAGGCGCTAATGAATATAAACAATTTGACAAGTGCCGCATCAACGTAAAATGACAACTTGTTAATGCAAAAGTTACATACAAAAAACGACCGTATAGTATTTGACACACAAGAGCCTTAGTGGTAATTTTTACGTGCATGTTAATTGTGAATTGTTTATATATACGCTTTCAAATTGTCCTACTTTCATCTTGTTAACACTTGGGTCCAAGAATGTATCGAGACGTCTCCTTCTCCTTTTATGATTAGAATTAGGCATCGAAATCTAAATGAACTAACCACAATTATATTATTTTAATTATATTACATGTAATAAAATGATTATGATGAATTAGAAAAAATGTAATTTATATATTAGATAAATATTTGTATGTCATGATTATGACAAAGCATGCTGGACTTAAATAATTTACAAACCTGTAATGTACAATGTTTTCTGCAAATAAACTATGATTAAGGTTTTACTCCAGTGTGTATTTTTAAATGATTTTACAATTGATTTTTTCTTATACATCTAAATTCACAGATATTACACACAAAAGGTTTTTCTCTGGTGTGTATTTTTATATGCTTTTGCAAATTACATTTTAAGATACATCTATATTCACAGATATGACACGAATAAGGTTTTTCTCCGGTGTGTCTTTTCATATGTATTTGCAAACGACTTTTTTGTATACATTTATATTCGCAGATATTACACGAAAAAGGTTTTTCTCCAGTATGTATTTTCATATGTGTTTGCAAATTATTTTTTTGAACACATTGATATTCACAGATATTACACGAAAAAGGTTTTTCTCCGGTGTGTGTATTCATATGCTTTTGCAATTCATATTTTGTAATACTTTTAAAATCACAATTATTACACGAAAAAGGCTTTTCTCCAGTGTGTTTTTTCATATGCCTTTGGAAGTTTCCTTTAACTGTACATTTATAATCACAATTATTACACGAAAAAGGTTTTTCTCCGGTGTGTATTTTTATATGATATTTCAAATTACTTTTTTTTATACATCTATATTCACAGATATTACACGAAAAAGGTTTTTCTCCGGTGTGTGTTTTCATATGCTTTTGCAATTCATATTTTGTAATACTTTTATAATCACAATTATTACACGAAAAAGGTTTTTCTCCAGTGTGTTTTTTCATATGCCTTTGGAAGTTTCCTTTATCTGTACATTTATAATCACAACTATTACAACAGTATACTTGTTTAGCGACATGCGCTTTACGATGTGCCAAAATGTAACGTTCTTGAGATGTTTTAAATTCGCAAATATCACAGCTAAATATATCCGTTACTTGTGGTACTGGACTTTGTTCAACTTGTGTCCGAACTGCATCCGAGTTCTTTTGCGTCCTATGACTATGTGATATGTGGTCGGCGAGAACATCTTTTGTTGAAAACTTTTTGCTACAGTAATCACATTCAAAAATGGAATTTCTTGATGCCCCAGATATTTTTTTCGTAAGTATATTTACACATTTTTGTTTCAAAAATTTATTTTCTATAATCTTTCCAGAATGCTTTTCTTTTTTATTAATTGGTTGGTTATCTCTTTTGATTTTAGAGTTTGATTTAATAGTAGGGCCTTCATAATAGAGGTTTTCTTTACGTACTACGTTTATGTTACTATCAGTAGAATTTGATTTAATCTTCTCAGACGGTTCTGAAAAAATATTTATCGGTGTGAAGTACTGTTCTGAAATACACACGTAAACATTTTATTTATTGTAAGACATTGCATCTTTATTATAAGACACCATAAACGGTTTACAATGGGCGGAGTTTATGCCTTATGGCATTTTCTACTAGTTAACCCAGGGAGAAATAGAGAAGTTATAATATTTTACAACATTACATTTATTTTTTATGAACATCATTAACATTACATGAGGGTCACTTATCGGGATAAAAACTATCATATCTCTCAAGTATACGACTTAGGAACCTTCAAGAAAAGAGCTTACACCTTTCTAAAGGCCATGTCGAGAGAATGAATGAAGAACGATTGACGAAAAAAATGTATAAGGCGAGTGTGAATGAAAGTGTTGGAAGGGGTAGACCTAGGCGGACATTTCTAGACCAAATCAGGGACGTCTTGAAAAAAGGCCAGGTCAAGAGTACCCTAAACCGTAGAGCATGTATGAAGGGAATAATGAAAGTGGACGAAGCGAAACAAGTATGTAAGGATCGTAGTAAGTGGAAAGAAGTGGTCTCTGCCTACCCCTACGGCAAAGAGGCGTGATTATATGTATGTATGTATCTTTCTAAAAGGCCGGCAACGCATCTGCAATTCCCCTGGCGTTGTAGTTGTTCATGGGCGGCGGTAGTCACTTACCACCAGGTGAGCCGCATACTCGTTTGCCCTCTTCTATAAAAAAAAAAAATTTGGACCAAACTGCACACATTGTGTAAGATTTCATTGAAATCAGTTTAGTAGTTCAGGAGTTTATCGCGGACAAACAATGTGACACGTAATTTTTATATATAAAGAAGATATAGTGGTGGTCGTATAACTAGAAACACTACCGACGGTCCTTGACATTATGTAAGATACTTCACCGCAATCGTTTATTAAAAATATTTTGAAATTAAACAATGTATAGGACAACTATATGTTCAACGATTTATCATTTATTAGAAAAACAATATAAATCCCCTTACACAAGTGCAGTTTCAATATTACATTACGGACAAACATTTAAATCAGTTTTAAGGTATGAACAATAATGGTCAACTAATTAGAAACAACAACAAAAAAGTATAAAAACAATATTTTTTAAGTATTAGTAATTAGTATTGTTATTTACGAAATAGCTACTATCCACAGCCTACCAATAGTTACAATTAATATTTAGTGGCGTATCCCTTATTTTCAATAACATCACTGCAACGACGTGCCATTGATTCAATCAATTTCATACATTTTTCTAGGGGGATTGAATTCCATGCTTCAATAAATGCTTCATATAGTTCGTTTTGACTGGTGTTACGTTTGTTTGAGACTCTATTTTAACAATATAATTGATTGTGGCTTAGCAATGAGTTGCAACGCTTGGAGCCGCGGGTTCGAATCCCGCACGGAACAAGTATTTGTATGGCCTACAAGTAATTGTTCCGGGTCTGGATGTTTGTCCTTGTGCAATTTATGTTTGTAAACTGCCTCCACGATACAGGAGAAAATCCTAGTGTGGGGGTAACGTTTAAAAAAAATATACCAGAGATTTTCTGTCGGGTTTAAATCCGGACTATTTGCTGGCCAGTCTAAAACGGATATACGCTGTTCGCTAAGGAAACATTTTCATTTAACATTTACTTGGGTTTTTTTAGCAACACGAACGATTAGCGTATCTTCCCTGGGAGAGGTTTTTCTTGGCCGAGCCTTTCTAAGAACATCTTCAACAGTTCCATCAATTGCATTAAACTTTCTTAACAGAACAATTTAAATGCTCAGCTATTCTTCTGTACGCCCACTTGATCTATACGTAAATTAACAATTATTTGCCTAATTGATCCGTCACAACTTTTATTTTTGCCCATTTTAAACAAAATAAAATAAGATTAAATTTTGAATTCCGCCAAAATAATAGAAAAAGCCAAGCAAGAAATGTTATTCTCCAATTTCAAAAAAAGAACGAGCTATGGATGCTTTTTCAAAATGTTTCTAATTAGGCGTCCAAGCGGCCAGTAACAGAGAATAAACTCCTACATGTGTAAGACTCATTTTGTAATTAAAAGTAAGACATGTTATATATTTATGCATTTAATCAGTTTTTTATTTGAGTGGCTTATATATATTATTGCATGATTATTATTTATTGAATGTGTATATTCCATCTTAGTTCTCAGCGGTGACAACGCATCTGTATTTTGATTCTTAATCGAGGACAAATGTAGATGTCTATGGGCCACAGCATCCACTTACCCAGTAGGTGGCGCTGAAGTCGAGATGCAGAAATCCCCCGTGCGAAGACGGGGCGGGTCGCTAGTAAAGGATAAAAACGTAAAAAGACATATTATTATAGCTAACGACGAGACGAAACACCGATGCCCTAGGAATCCATGCGTTATGACGTATGAGGACTAAGATAGAATTCGCCTCAGCCGATAATTACATAATCTATATGTTTTATACATGGTAGAGTCATGCTACAGCTATATTAGTAGTATAGTTGTAGCACGACTGGTTTCGCTCGACCGAGGAAGGACCACGTTCTCACAGAATACCAGCGTAAAATAGCAGCTTAACACTGATGTGTTTCGTATGGTGAGTGTAGAGAACCGGAGACACTTTTTACTGGAAAAGAGGTATTCCATCTTAGTCCTCACGGGTGACAACGCATCTGCATTTTGATTCGTATTCGAAGATAGATGTAGATGTCAATGCGCCACAGCAACCACTTACCATCAGGTGGACTGTGTGCTCGTTTGTCACCCAAACCTATAAAAAAACATTTACGAACATTTGTACGTTGAAGTTATACTTTCTTTATTCATAAGAAGCGTTTCTAATTATATTTTATATATATATATATATTTGTAGTTAATTTTGTTATATATATCTTTATATATAAAAATTACGTGTCACGTTGTTTGTCCGCGATGGACTCCTAAACTACTGAACTGATTTCAATGAAATTTTGCACACTGTGTGCATTTTGGTCCAACTTGAGAGATAGGATAGTTTTTATCCTGATAAGTGGCACTCAAAAATTGTTATTGCGAATTTAAGCATTTTTATAATAAGGGACGTTGGAAAGGGCGGAACGTCTGCCTGGCGAGCTAGTATATAAAATTAGCTAGCTATATAAAATTAACAACAAGATAGATATGGTCTCCGATTACAATAGATTTTATTTATTACGACCTTGGTTGTAGCGACCATTTACCTATAGCGACGTTAAATCTAAGTCCCTTGAATTTAAAGCATATTTTAGTACAAAATCCATGTGGCTATAGCGACTTTGGATGCAACTCCGAGTTCGGGTGTAGCGACTGTTTTTAATGAATCATTTGTAACAAATTCCTAGAAATCCTAGAATCCAGAAATAGAGTCGGCCGCAAAAAACACAAAGATTTCTTTCTTTCACAAACATTTCTTACTTTTTGTTTACATCCACACAGACGGTCACCAGGTATGGAGACCTTTACCTTTTGTTTATAGACATCAGCTAAATAGTAGGGAAGCGTGTACGTTTCGGAGTTAAATTTATGGTTCAGTTACAAAGTGATATTCTGAGTAGCAACAGTAATGTATTGAATTTGTTAACTTTACCTGTAACGACTTCCGGATATAACGACGAAAATAGAGTGGTCCCTTCATCGTCGTTATACCCGAAATCCACTTTATTTACATTCACTATACGTATTCTGTGAGAGCGTGGGCCTTTCCCTGTCAAGCTCACCTATTTGTACTGCATTTGTTAACAGATTCGTTGCGGCACCTATTTTCGACAACTTTTACCTGTGGCGGCGAACAAATATTTCGTGACACGCCTGGCTTGTCAAGCGCCTATTGTGCCATCAGCCATGTGTAAAAGTAATGTTCTTTTTTATGCTTTTTTCACTTGTTTAGACCTAATTAAGTTTAGTTGACATCAAACATCAGTTACAAACGGAAGAATACTTATTTTTAGAGGGTAGCTATGTGTTCTTCTACGTGTTTTTTTGGAAATTGATTAATGTTATACAAATGTAAAAGTAAAGTCGATCTGAAGCCGTCTAATTAGTAAGAATAGCAAAACAAGTGTTTTCAAAAGGGAAAAAAAACCGGCGCTGTACGGCGGCGGATTGACAAAAGACAATATTTATTAGCAAACTTTTTTAAACATGAACGGTTTCCAACTGTTTAAAGCAAAAATAAACCTTATACCATATTACCAGAGCACATAGTACTTCGTAGGTCTATTTGGCCATATAGTAATAAGACGGCAGTTCAACCATTTTAAGCAAAATTAAACAATGAGACAAACGCATTGTTTTTTTTTAACAGGAGACTTGTTTTCCAGAAACTTGTTTACAACTTGAGTTTGTAAACGATCGCAATGAGTGCTGTTATTTGTTACTTATTAGACTATTTGATTTAAAAAAACCCACGAAGTAAAATAAGTACCATGTACAAGTTAAAAAAATGTTGTCAACCTCTAAAAATTTCAAATTTTAAAATATCCAGAAACGAAGCTGTAGGCATGAACTACTTGCAAAATAATGAATATTTTGTTCTGTATAAATCTTCCAAAAACGCAATTTAAGCGAGTTATCACAATTTTTAAAAAGACGTCATACGCGACGCACAAAAATAATCGATGGCACGTCTGGCGTGCCATCCGCACTGAACCGGTTAAACATAATATTTGTTTGCTATTTGTAGTTATAAACCAGCAAGCGGTTCCATTCTTCCCTAATGACGGTTTCAAGGTTTAAAATTAATCAAAATATCACTTGCAAAAAATAATTTTGATGTTGTAACTGTGATCAAGTAGGTGTAAATAAACAAGTTAAATAAAACATTTCAGTACTAAAACATTTTGTTTGGTTTGACTTCAGAAAATCATGATTTGCAGTAAAACGCTGGTGAGCCGATTTTTCGATGACTAGTGTAGGACACAACATCGTTATGTTACTATCTCACGCTGGTATTTTTTGAGAGCGTGGTCTTTTCCCGGTCAAGTCGAGCCGTCCAAGCAGTCATAATCACTGCACGATGCCTCTACCACAAATTAGGTCAACTCTATCATTTACAGAAATAAAAAAATAAATGTCACCATGTATTTGGGGGTGAATTATAGTCTCAAGTCGACGAACCGCTCGAAGAACCGACAACCGATGGGGAAAAAAGGTTCTCGAGTAGCAGCCTCGTACCGGTAGGCGAAGTGGAGGGCGAACCCCGACTAGATGGAGTGACGACCTGCTAAGACATGCAGGAAGTCGATGGATACAGGTGGCTCAGGACCGTGCTATGTGGCATTCCTTGGGGTAGGCCTATGTTCCGCAGTCGACTTGTGAAGGGCTGTAATGATGATGATGATGATGAAGTCAACGATAGAAAACTGGCGAATTAGCTACCGTAGAAAACTAAAAGTTCGGTGAAGCGTGGCATTATTTTGATGGTTTGTAAAACAGGCTTCATTATTCAATGCAATATTTTAAATATATTTCAGTCATTTGTATTAATGGAAAAATGGTAACAGAAACTTTAGGTGCAGTCACGACTAAGTTCTCATCCAATAATACATACATTTTTGTTTTGTGGATTGCAAGATGTTACTGTGGCCAGGATTAAGAAAGGATTTTCGGTAGTTTGGTCATGTATAAAAATTGAATGAGAAAAGAGTGACAAAGCAAATTTATGATGCAGTGGACGGCAGAGTCGGGAAGGGACCCCATAGACGGAAGCAGGTATATAGAAAAAATTGGCGATATATTGTATATTTTCAACAGTAGTAGAGCCACGCTACAGCTTCTGCTGTTGCATGGATGGGCCGGCTCGAACCGGGGCAGTACCACGACCTCACAGAATACCAACGTAAAGTAGAAGCTACCCTCTTCTTCCTGAGCGTGGGTGTTCAGCTGCCCCGCGTTTTCTGGGAGGGAGGGGGGGGGGCAAATCCCGCTCTATACTAAAAGAGCGGTAAAAACCATGGCGACCCCTGCCACGCTATTAGTGGATTTCTGCAACATCAGGGAACGTCACTCGAACCTTAACGCCGTCCATTAATTTCTACCCGGGGTAGAAATTAGAACACTTCGTGGTGCCCCGGGCTGGAGTTTGCGTATAAGTCGGAGAGGATTTCTGTTCTCGACGCCTCGACAGTCTTGAAGGTACGGAGCTATCCATCCTTTTGTCGCATATACCACGGGGAGTGCTCTGAGGTTTTGTTCGGACCAATTCCAGCCGCTCAATTTTACCATCGCACATCGCGACAAAACTCGCGATACCATCCATACCATCTGGATGATTGGCGGTCCACCACTGTGCGATTTAGAAGATGTTTCCTTCCGCGCACAACATCCTTGTGGGATCTATTACCACCAGCAATTGTTCCGGACCGATACGGCTTAGGGACTTTCAAGAAAAAAGTCTACTCCTTTTTAAAAGGCCGGCAACGCATCTGCAATTTCCCTGGTGTTGCAGTTGTTCATGGACGGCGGTAGTTACTTACCATCAGGTGAGTCGCATGCTCGTTTGCCCTGCCGTTTGAGTATTCTTAACTAACGAGCGTGTATGTGGATATATTATGGAAGTGAAGGAGGCAAGAAAGGTGTGTCAGGATCGTGCCAAATGAAATCCCGTAGTCTCTGCCCATCCCTCTGGGTGACAGGCGTGAAAGATATAAATATTTAAATAATGCTTTAGCAGCGTAAACGTTCATGATCGCCTTCGCGACAACTAAGGCATATTTTTGTTCAACCCGTGGGTTAAAGGACTATAGGAAATATCTGAAAAAGTTCCGGCAAAAGTTCAAATGATGGAGATATACCATCTTATTTACGCCAGGGTAAAATATCCAGACCTGCGTCATATGGTCATAAATGCAACATGTCTAGTGCTGCGATCGTCCCATCGTCACACTTGGAAGAAACCAAGTGTGACGATGGGAGGGAACCATGCCAGGCATTGTACTTTTATGGACTAATAAAGTATAAATAAAACAAAGATACGTCGTCCCGAAATAGTAGTCAATTCTGTATCTCTGCGACACTTAATTTTTTTATAAAATAAGGGTGACATGCGAGCACACAGTCCACCTGATGACAAGTGCAAGCTGTGGTCCTCAGACATCTTCATAATGCTCGATTAAGAATCAAAATGCGGATGCGTTGTCAGTTCCGGGGACTAAGATGGAATGCCTCACAGCTCGAATTATACTGGCTCTGTATTACCTTCATACCGGAACGACAGTTGTGCAAGTAGTTTTGCTAGGTGGGGGAAATAGGCTAAACATGCATACATCCAGACGAACTCCTTTCTAGTCACATAAGGACTCCTACCACCTAATCAAGTAAGATTAATAGATTCACTAATACATATTCCCTCGGCTCGAGGAACAACTTTGAGGCAAGAAGTTTCCAGACGATAGCGAAGTGATGGACGCTGTTGAGGCTTTTTTGTAGGGTCGAGATAAAGAATTTTTTAGACAAAAAGATTTTTTTCCAAGGGAATTCTGGGTTTTTTAATATAATCACCGTGTTTACTATTCATTATCACTACTTTTGGATCACCTCTCTTACTCTGGTGGTGGTCCACATGGTGGTAAGTGGTGATGCAGCCTTAGATGGTAAATCGCGTTGTCTTAACGTAAGAAAAGCCTATTCACTCTTACCTTAAAGACGCCCAGTTTGTATTGGGACGGAAAGATAGACGCCAGCAAATTATTCCTCTCCTTTGCTGTACGCATTGCAGCAGTCGAAGCAAATCATTTGGTTCTAATGCGTAGAATGTCGACAACAAAGAAGTGAAGATCCGCCGACTGCCTGTTCGTCCGATGGTGGTAAGGAGAAGGAGGAATTAAAGCGTGTAATTCCTGCGCACACTCACCGAAATGCATTCTATAGAATACCGAGAGACTGACTACTCTGGGCCTGTGCTCGAGACTGGCGAGATTGGTTTCAACCAAATCAGTCCTATGTGATGAGCCTCTTAGCACGTCTCTCCACTGAGTCCAACGCTGCCAGGTGGCATTTTGCAGCATCAGCCCATATGTGACAGCAGTACTCCATGCACGACCGGACTTACGCTTTATATAAGGTAAGAAGCTGCCCTGGCGTGAAGTACCGCCGCACCCTTGCAAGGACGCCAAGTTTCCTTGCGGCTGCTTTGGTTCTGGACTCAATGAACCGTACCGTAACCGTAGTTGAGGTTCGGAGAAAATTCAACCCCTACCAACTGAAGAGCCTCTCTTTCTGATTGGATTTGAGCCCGACTGGCCCGGGCACTTGGTTGGTATCTCTCCACAACTGTGCTGTCGTCTACATACCCATAGATACCGGGACTGAGAAGATCATTTATATGCAGCAGGAAAAGAGTTGCGGAGAGAACGGACCCCTGAGGAACACCGGCGTTAGTCGCCACAGTATCGGATGAGCAGCCATCGACGAAGACCCGGAGAGACCGTTCACTCAGAAAGTCCTTCACCCAGACAATCAGGTCAGGGGATATGCCGTACGCTGAAAGTTTGCCCCATAGACTAGCGTGCCAAACCCTGTCAAAGACCTTCGAAACATCGAGGGAAACAGCAAGTGCTTCACCACTGTTCTCGAGGGCTTCGCCCCATATGTGAGTGGCATACGCTAGAAGGTCCCCAGTTGATCGATTTCGGCGAAACCCGTACTGGCGATCACTGAGGAGATCATCTTTCTCTAGGTATACCATGAGATGGGCGTTCAATATACGCCCCATAATCTTGCAGAGTATGGAGGTAATTGAAATTGGCCGATAGTTGGCAGGGTCGGTATGGCTACCTTTTTTTAGGCACAGGCTGCACATTGGCCAGCTTCCAAGATTTTGGCACTATTCCAATCCTGAATGAGAGGCGGAACAAGCGTGTCAACACAGGAGACAACTCAGGTGCACAGATCTTTAGAACTATAGCTGGTATACCATCAGGTCCACTAGCTTTGTTCACGTCTAGACTTCGCAAGGTTTTAAGAACCTCCTTGTTGGTGATACGAACTTCTGACATAGAGGTACCGCAGTGAGGTAATTGAGATGGTACGCTGTTGGTACTGTCCAGACGCGAATTGCAAGCAAAAAGAGAAGCAAAAAAGTCCGCTTTCTCCTTAGGCGCATGCGCCAGTGAGCCATCTGGTTTTACCAACGGAGGCAGTGTAGACCGACAGAAGTTTCTCTCGACCGCTTTGGCGAGAGAAAACTCTCTGCCAGATGGTTTGACAGAGCTTTGTACCCAACCGGTTAATGCGGTCGAAACTAGCTTGGCGTAATGCCTATTTGCAGGACTTAGCGGCTTGGTTAAAGGCTCTCTTCTTAAGGCTAAAATTCGGAGCTTTGCAATCTCGATCATCGACCCAGAATACGTACGCCATATGCTTGTGATTTTCAGCACGAGCGCACTCGGAGTTGAACCATGGGCAAGCTTTACCACCAATGGGCACGTCAGCAAAGGGGATGAAATCCTCCATCGCTTGACGTATCACATCGGTTATGGCATCCGCGCAGCTCGACGGGTCTTCAGACAAGAAGCAGACCTGCCGCCAAGGATAAGATGCAAAGAAATGCCGCATATCATCCCAATCTGCTGACTTGTATCGCCACACTCGCCGCACACCGTGGAAATTATAGTTGGGTGGGGAATATAACGACACAGATTTCACTAGACAGTGGTCAGAAGTTCCCAAGTGTGAGGTAACCTGAACATCGTATCTTTCTAGATCGGTCGTCAGCAGAAGGTCAAGGCAGATGGCTGTATGCCCATCCAGATCAGGTACCCTAGTCGTTTGTTGTACCAGATGAGAGAACCCCAGCGACAAGGAAAAATTACACGTCTCTCTCCCAGCGTGGTCGGTCTTCTGGTATGGGAACAGTCAGTCCTGATGACAGGCATTCACTTAACAATAATTTTGTTTATACAAATTTTAAATGAATTTTCATAGAACCAGCATGGTCGCGATCACCTTATTTCCAGAGGTTATTTTCATTCATGTATTCCTTGATATTATATGTTTATTGACAAACTTTGAACATGTTCTAGGATTTTGTTGTAAAATCGTAAACATTGCCCCATAAATGAATTACTGATTCTGTGGAGTCTAGTAACTGGCATTACAAGCTTATTTTTGTTCCTAGTGTTTAAGGTATGAACATCCTTATTCTTATTAAAGCTATTTATGTTTTAATGTACACACATTACATTTTCATAAATATATTGCGATGCCAAAGTTAATATGTTTATTTCTTTAAAATTTTCTCCGAGGGACTCTTTACAATTTAGGTTATAAATCGCCCATACGGCTCTCTTTTTCGAAACAAATATAGCTTCAATATCAGTCGCATTACCCCATAGCAAAATTCCATAAGACATTGCTCTATGAAAGTAACTAAAATACACTAATCTAGTAGTTTCAACATCTGTGAGACTTCTAATCTTTCTTACAGCATATGCTGCAGAACTAAGTCTGCTTGCTAATTTAGATATATGGGGGCCCCATTGAAGTTTCGCGTCAATAGTAATACCGAGAAAAACAGTGGTATCCACAAGACTCAACTCCTCCCCATTGAAGAGCACATTGGTATTCGAATGTTTTACATTAGGTATTGTAAATTTAATACATTTTGTCTTATTGCCGTTTAAGAGCAAATTGTTGGCGTTAAACCAATGTACTAATTTCGATAGAGCATTATTTACATCGTCATAATTAATTGACTGCCGTTTGAGTTTGAAAATTAAAGAAGTATCGTCAGCAAATAATACTATATTGTGATTGTCCCCTACAAGATAAAGTAAGTCATTAATATAGATCAAGAACAGGAATGGGCCAAGAATCAAGCCCTGAGGAACGCCCATTGATACTACCGATCCTGAGGAACCTTTACCATTGATCATGACTTTTTGAGTTCTGTTACTTAAATATGAAGTAATAAGTCTAAGCGCCAATTTGTTTACACTGTAATGTTATAGTTTCCTGATTAATGTCTCATGATGAACACAATCGAAAACCTTGGAAAGATCACAGAAAATACTTAAGGTAACTTGTGAATTCTCCCAGGCATTAAAAATATATTTCATAAGCTCAACACCGACGTCAGACGTCGAGCGACCCGTTGTAAAACCGAATTGGTGTTTATAAAGTAATTTAGTTGTATAAAAAAAATTAACAATTGATCCAAAATTATTTTTTCAAAAGTTTTACTGAGAGCTGGTAGTACAGAAATAGGTATAAAATTAGCGGGGTCCAATGTACTACGAGATTTAAATTAAATAATTACTTTACTATACTTCGTTAAATTAGAAAACACACCAGAATCGATACAAGTATTAAAAATAATAGCAAGATGAGGTGTAATTAAATCTACTATGGACACAATAACTGTAACGGAAATCCCCCACAAATCTACGGTTTTCTTTACATCAATGGTTTTGAAGTAATTTACTATAGTTTGCGGTAATACTTTTTCAAATCTAAATTATTTTAAACAGGTATTAACATTCTGTTTGAGTAATAACTTGGTGAAAGTTGGAGAAGTATTCAATGACTCTGTTGTCGAGATAGGAACATCAGTGAAATATTTTTCAAACACCGCTGTGACTTCTTGATTTGATTTAGTCAATTCATTGTTAATTTTTAATTGATAGTTTGAGTTATGAGGTTTGTCTTAAGCAGTTTTGCTGTTAATTATACTCTATGTCATTTTAATTTTATTCTTAGCCATCTTCATTTTGTTGCTAATATGTAACGATTTGGCTGTGGAGCAAACTCTTTTAAACATTTTAGAATAATTTTTGACATATTCTTTAATAGCATCGGAAAGGTTATATGTTCTTTCATGGTCATATAACCTTCGTATGCTTTTATGAATTCCTACTGTCGCCCACTCATTAAATGCCTTGCGACCAATATTGGAGGAGGGAGGAGTCCATCTGGGTAGGCTCAAATAGTTCAACTCCTAGGCAAAAATGGAGTCACACCACCAGTAGTAGGGTTGAGTGTTGTTATGACACTAAGAAGTTGGCAAAGATAGGTAGCTGCTTACCAGTTGTACGTATATCATTAATTAATATGAAAGTAAAAATAATAACATCTGAGTGACATACATACTTATGGCATTAATACATGGGCTACAGCAACTACTTGCCATTAAGTAAATTGTACCTTATTTTAATAAAATCACAAAATGTGTATATCTTACCTGTTTCATGATCCCCATTTTCTTCAAATTTGAAATTCTCATTTTCGAAATTCTCTTCCTCAACTTTAACGGAATCAAGGCTAAAAATTTCGTCCTTATCATCATTTTCTATATCACACTCTACTGGCCAGATATCAATATGACAAATTGGTGTGAATTCAATCTCATCTCTTGCTTCATGCGATTTTGGTATTAACTGAAACCAAATTATTTTTTTGAATAAGAGAAAAAAGCTAGAGTAGTGGTGATGTAGGACAATCCATACTGCACCATACCATCCTGCAGATGTCGTAAAAAGGGACAGAAAGAAATTGAAACTGGAGGTAGCAGCATCTTCCTGACAACAACTCCAAATAATAATAAAAACCGGACAAAAGTGAGGGTGTCGAATAAAATTATATAAAAATATAGATGAACACATCCACCCTGAAAATCGAGTCTCAACAACTTTTCAAATGAGATTCACAAATTCTGTAAATAGACAAAGATTTATCTTTGTTTACTAAGTAATATTACATATAGATATTTTGTTTATATACAATAGAGTAATATGTATTTAACAGTACAAGTTAAGTTAGATAATTGTTTGTTAAAATAAGTGCCTTACTTACCATAATTCGTAAAATACTAAATAAACATTGCTCTAACAAAAAAGTAAGTTTGATTGAAGGATAAACTTAACTTTGCAGTAGAAACAACATTCTTCCATATGGCAATGGGAAGCAACATAGAAGGCGTGAGACAGGTAGTGATCATCAAGATGCATGCCAAGTGATGATTAAGGCAAATACTTCATTCCAACACCCATTGTATCATAACAAGGGGAAACAGACACAAGAGTTGGACAGCAGCATATTCCTGATAATAACTCAGGCTAATATAAACTGCAGTTGCCAACCTGCCAAATGTGGCAAATTTGGCAGAATCCCTCCTATGAAGCAATCTATGAGGGAGGCCTGCATTCAGAAAGTGGACTTTTATAGGTTTTAATGGATGGAATGGATAATACCATGGACCCTCCTGCAAGCAACTGCTCCAGAACTGCATTTGACTCAATAGCCTGTTGTTGTAATCTTCTGCAACGAATGAGTCTTGCATGACAGGTGAAACAGACAATTATGGGCCCCTCATTCTCATCCATCTGAAAATATAAGTTTGTCATAAAAATGAACAACTACTTAAATATATATAAACTTGTTCAATTCATCAACATCGTTTTTTTATAACATTGGGTGACAAATATATTTACAATCCACCTGATTGTAAGTGGTCACTGCAGCCCATAGGCACCTGCAACATACTTCAAGAAAAGGCTACAGATGCAATGTTACCTGTGAGGGCTAAGACGTAATGCTTCACAACCTGTTTTTATACTGGCTCTCAGGATGTCCTTCAGACTGGGCCACATACTGCTGCTGCGTGCCAGAAATAGGTAAGAGGATGATATCTACCAGATACTTCCAGACAGAAAAAAGTCCCACCACCTAGTGGATCATCATCACTGCAACAACACAGTCCTAAGCCACCTACATCCATCGACTTCCTGTCTTACCATATTGCCACAATCTAGTGGGGGGGGGGGGGGCGAGCACTCTATTTACTTACCAGTATGAGGCTACCACTCGAGAATTGTTTCCCTATCTGTTAATAGTTGTGCAAGCTATAAGGACAAAATTCTCTTAATTTGAATCTTGTGAGTGTCAAGTACGTAGTAGTCTCTGTGACCTTAACAGATATAATTTTAAAAGCAGTAGCTTCAGACTCGTGAGATCCTAACAGAGGTATTATCAAGTTTGGGATTTCCAAATTCAATCCTTCCAAGCCTACTTTAAAATTTTAACATCAAACTACTAGTAACACTATTAACATTATTACAAATACTTCTCTTATTTGCTCTAAGTTAACTTAAAATGCTTGTGGTAGTAAGAATTTTTGACAAAAAAATAGCACAGGACAGGATAAAATAATTTAATCCTGTCAAAATGTGCAATTATTGCATTTGTATGTAAGCAAGCACAAATGCACACAATTCCCTCCTTTGATTTCTGTCTGATAGGAATATGAGAGTGAGGGAATTTCTGTGTCTGGAAGCAACTGAGCTCGCGGGCTCTAACACTTGTTGCAAATAAAGATTCGGCGACTCTTCTAGTGCGTAGTACATAATATTACTTGAACGATAATACTGATTTTAGTGCGACCCAGGATACCGGGCTAATTGTTGTTTTTCAGGTTCTGCTTGTATTTCTCTCTCAGTCACTATATTTAACACTATACCTTACCCTAGCCCCGATCGATCGCATTTTATATCAGGCGAGTTATAATATATTTCTCCAGCGACAACAACAATAGTATTACGGTTGACTCAGAAACTTACAAATCTGTTCATCAATGTATTATATAAATTTTGGAGGCCAGTCTTCTTTAGAACAAACATGCGTACATTAACGCTTAAACAAATTCTACAAATTTCACTGAACGCCATTTCTGTTCCCCACAGCTTGAATATAATTGAATTACCTATATTTTTCTTGCTTTTTCTTCAATAAACCGGAATTTAAAAAAATATTGTAAGCATAGATTGTTGTTGTTTTTATTATTCGCTTGAGAGAGCAGGCAAAGGAACTATGCCATACAGCCTTGTCTTTATGTATTATTATCCTTCTTAGTTCACTGCTTCACAATATGTTGATGCATCACATTGTGTAGCCCTTGGGAGATTTTGACGGCAACTTGAGCCAGCAGGCAGCTGACAGTTGGCGATGGTATCTAAAGGCGCCTATGCAAACAGCTTATCTTGAGAATCCATCACCATGACAGCACTTGTTTCACAGTTTCCACTAATAGTTCACATGCGTAGAGAGTTAATACATAAAATCGCACCACTTTTACATGTCAAAATCCACTTCAAACTATTATTTAAACTATAATACAGGAGCAGCAAACCGCCGCAGATCAAGTTCCCGTGGCAAGTTCATAGTGGCAAATGTCATAGAATTATTACCTATAGAATACTAGTACGCGCACCAAAAGTGAAGCAACTAAAACTAACGCGAAACCGTGTAAGTTCACTCCGCGATGCGTCAGTGCGCACTGTCACGTCTTACGGAGAAGAGCTCCCGAAAAATTGTAAATAAGACCGTTTCTGTTGTAAAATATTGTCTCAACAGTGATGATTAAAAAAAAAAAGTGATGGTATTACATTTCATATATAAGTTCATATATATAATTCATTATAAGTACGTAAAACTAAAAAAAAAATACTTACCTAAGCTATTATAATACAAATGTTGCTAGTTGTGGGGAAAAAATCACAATTTTCTTTTAAAAATATTTATTTTCTATTTGTGTTTAAAAGTTTTAATCGCAACGCTCGGTATAAAACTCAAATGTTTATATATCTATAGATACCTACTTTTCTAGGTATTAACACAATATTAACAATGGGTGCCTATTTAAAACTAATATGGAGTGATCAGCTGATCGCGATCCGTCGAAGCCATTTTAACGCAACTATTTTATATTAATTGCTTGGTTTATTGACTAAGTCGACGTTTTAGAGTTTATAGTATAGAAGAAAAACTTTTTTTATTTACAAAAGCAAGAGATTAATAATCTATAAGAACGCCTTTACTACTCAGATGTCACTTTACACCCAAACATTTACCAGATGTCACTTTACACTGAAAATTTGGTCTATTTTTAACCGACTCCCAAAAGAAGAGGTTATCAATTATGCATATACACTGATTTCTAAAACGATGCTGAAATTTTAGTGGTTAATACCTCATGAGGTAGTCGGGCGTCTAGTCTTGTTTATGTTGTATCATTACGCTTGAGAGTTCATGTTCTGAACATTTATTTGTGGCTCTTCACTGTGTAGACAGTAGCGCGTGCAATAGACGTAACACTACGTTACGTCAGCGAATTTTTTTTTCATACTTTATTATAGTAATACGGCATAAGCTAGCCTGCACGCCCGACCTACTTGCGAAATATTGCTATTGGTTTGAGATCGCATTCGAGTTTTGTTTTCCTTGATTGTAAATCTGCCATTTTTACATCCTAATAATTTTTATTTAAATAAGTCTATTGTACTACCAAGACAAAATCATTTGACTTCGGGAAAACAACCACTAAAAGTTGTATATTGGATCAATCTGTGTGTATATCCTTTCAAATAAAAAAATCTAAATTGACTTAGAAATTATAGATTACTGAGGTAAAAAATTTTAAAAAAATACACCGAATTGAGAATCTCCTCTTTTTTTGAAGTCGGTAAAAATGAAACGTTACATGATGTGCTTATTGTATTCGAGCAAATTAATTGTGTTTAATAATATTCTTAAATGTTATTACGTCTGCATTTTTGTACCATTAAATATGTATAATAAAGTTATATTAATACCATCATTATCGTGTTTATTTTATTCCATTTTATATTTTAAACGTCGATAAAGTACGTCTTCGTACGTAATACGTAATCTTTATTATATCGATTATTTGAAATTAATCAATAAAATAGTGATTTGCACAATTTGATTGCAAACGCCAGAAATTGGTATCACTGAATGGCGTGTATGTGTGCGTGTGACGAGCGTAGGCACATTCGACTCGCGCCCACTAACTAACATGACGACCTTGCGTCACTTTAACGCTCGTGTTTTGTACTAGACTGCGTTTCTACTGGGTAATAATTCTATGCATAGTGTATAAATATTGTATTTATATAATACAAATTCTATACCACTTCAAAGTATATTAGCATTAAGTGATTTTGTTTCCATGCACAAAAACTGTTTTGCAGTATATTAAAGGTATAGAGAACAGAGAGTAGGAATTTTGTATAACTAACTTAAGTGTGAAGATTGTATTGCAGTTTTGCATGCTTAGCGTAATGATATAAAATCTATACATATAATAAATCTGTGGAAAAGTCGTGTCAGTAATTCTAATATTTTCTGGAAAAAACCATTCCAGGGGACTAAGTAAAGGGCACTGACCCCAAATTAGTTGTTTTTAGAATTTTTGTCTGTCTGTCTGTGTATTACCGTTACACGCAAAAACTACTGGACAGATTTCCATGAAATTTTGTGTGTAGATAGTTAGGGACCCGGGGCATCTTATAAGCTACTTTTTATCCTATTACAGATCATTAAAAAAAGAGTGTTAAGTATTTTCCTTCCTCAACATGTTAATTTCGATTTAATATTATTGATTATTGATGTTTTTTTTAAAATAAATAACATATTTATAAAAAAAGCCTAAAATGAGTTTTAACCGTTGCGTTATAATTTTAACAACAATCTAAATTTCACTTTATCAAAACAGTGCCATCTAACGTGAAATCCAAAAAGTAATAACATGTTACCTCCAGTTACTAATGAGTAAAATAAAATATATAACTTACATTTATATGTTTAATAATTTAATTTATAATTATTTGAAAATTCTAACGTTCATTTTTCAGTTCTTTCCTTATTTCATTTTAGTATGTGTAACTAATTAGGTACTACTTAAATAGTAGATAATAGTGACATTATCTAAATTCATAAAATGTTTCTAAGTTTAATTTCAATTTATAAAAAAGTTTTGATTATTTATAAATAAACTGATAAAACTGTAATTATTGTAAAACTCTGACTATCACTATAGTTTAAGTAATGTTTAATAAATTTAAAATAAAAGTAAAGATAAGTTTAAATAAAGAGATTTTTATACATTTATTAGCCAAATCTTAGAATTAATAATATAAAGTAGTTAATTATAGCACGAAATGGTGGCATTTAATCACTTAAATTTAACATTGTTTTTTGATCATATCATTTTATAGCCTGACCAAGTCAATGAATAGAGATCGTTTGGCGATATTACGAGGGCTTTACTAAAAGTATCGGGAATAGAATATTTCCACTGTTCCTGTCATATTAAAAACTTTTTAATTGAAAACTCCTTGGTTTTAAAAAATCGAATACAATTTTTTTTTTTAATTAGATTTAGAGAGATTAGAGAGAAGATTCTCGATCTTGCCACAAGGTTTTATCAAACTTATTTAGTCGTTAAGAAAATGGAATTGACTCGAGAAAATTCAAGAGCGATGATTTATTATGACTTTCGAAGTGGTTTAACACAAAAACAGTGTGTTGACCGGATGATTTCTGCATTTGGTGATGAAGCCCCATCCAAAACCATAATTTATCGCTGGTTTGCTGAATTTCAACGTGGACGTGTCAAGCTCAGTGATGATCCCCGTCAAGGTCGTCCAAAAACTGCAGTCACCCAAGAAAACGTTGATGCTGTGCGTAAGCTGATTGAGGAAGATCGACATGTGACATACCGCGAAATTCAGGCAACTTTAGACATTGGCATGAGTCAAATACAAATAATCTTGCATGAACAATTAGGTGTAAAAAAGTTGTTTTCCCGATGGATACCGCATTCGCTGTGAAGAGCAAAAAGCGGCTCGCGTTACTTGGTGCGTCAGAGCTCTCGAAAGATTCCACCCAGGATCCTCAAATGCTGTATACATAATCGTTATAGGTGACGAATCCTGGATATATGCGTACGAACCCGAAACAAAAAACCAGTCACGAGTTTGGGTGTTCGAAAATGAGTTAAAGCCAACAAAAATTGATCGTTCACGGAGTGTTGCAAAAAAAATGGTGGCCACGTTTGTCTCCAAAACCGGCCATGTTACGACTATTCCTCTTGAGGGACAAAGAACGGTTGATGCAGAATGGTATGCTAGCATTTGTTTGCCACAGGTCGTTTCTGAACTCCGTAAAGAGAACTGCAACCGCCGCATCATCATAGCGACAATGCAAGTTCTCACACCGCACACAGAACAAAAGAGTTTTTAGAGCAAGAAAACATAGAATTATTAGACCATCCGCCGTACAGCCCCGACCTAAGCCCTAATGATTTCTATACTTTCCCTAAAATAAAGAATAAATTGCGTTGACAGAGATTTTCATCACCTGAAGAAGCTGTGGACGCCTACAAAACGGCCATTTTGGAGACCCCAACTTCCGAATGGAATGGTTGCTTCAATGATTGGTTCCATCGTATGGGAAAATGTGTCAAATTTCGCGGAGAATACTTCGAAAAGCAATAAATACATTTTTAAATAGTAATGTTGTGTCACTTTCTTGATTCCCGAAATTTTCAGTGCCGCCCTCGTAACAACTAAACACAACATTGCTATTTCTTCATATTGTTATATCGTAATATAATTTCATTGTACACCGCTAGCAGCGCTGATAGCGTATTTTTGACAGAAGCAGAATTTTTAATAGAATGTAATTTATTCCTAATTTATGTATTATATAAATGTAGCGGCTTTGTTGCGTGAGACGGCACCCCACTCGCATCTTATTATCGCTGAGTACTATAGGGTAGTTTTTGTTTTTTATAGTTTTAATTTCATAATACTGCCATCTCACCTACTGCTAAATAAACTAATAATAAGTGATGAAATTAATGAGAATTCTATTGAATACTTTTTTTTTCTTCCAGCATCAAAAATTGTCACAATATCCAAACCGGTGTCGGAATGATTTATCGTTATTCTCA